TTTATTGCTTGCCATTCATATTTATTCCCCAAATACATCTGAAATTATTAAAATAAAAAATAGATATGTTACTGGCCCACCAAGATAAGGATAAAATAATATCAGAAGTCATGGAATATAGCCAAACTGAGACAATTATACTGGAAACCTAAATCAAGGAAGGCAAGTTGGTACAATCAGAGATAGGTTTAACATGACAACAGGAAAGGCTAATCACTGAAGATCCTTTAGAGTCTCTCAAAGATGAATTGTCTAAAGCAGGCATCTGACAGAAGCAAAAGGCTCTGGCAGAAATCAACTTTGTACAGAACTTTTTGATAAACACGTGGTATGCAGATGTATTGGTTTGCTAACTAAAAATATATACCGTCTCAGAGCTTTAGACACTAGACAAAGTCTCAAGTTGATAATTATCTAAAGCTGATAATTTTTTATAAAAAGGAAAGAATCTAAATGTCCATGCACACAAGGGGCCACTGTTGATCTACAAGATCAAAGGGTGGTCTAGAGCATGGGTATGCTCACAGGCGGCAGCCATGCTGTCCTTGGTGGCACCTGTGGTTTAGCTTAAATGTCTAAAAATATATTAAGTTGGGGCTCCAGACTTCCATCCTCTAAAGTATGGAAGAGATGAGCTTGAGCTGAAAAATTTTAAGTTATATTCAATTACAAATAGCTTGCCCTTTATACAGGATACAATTCGAAGGCCCACAACATTTAAAAAAAAAAAAAAGAAATCTGGCATTGATCTGTGACAGACTATCAAAAAAACTAATCTGGTGTCATAAGGATTGAAATATAAAACTAGTGTAGTCTTTACTAGGGAAACTGTTTCCAAAAATTTTATTATATATTATTGTCTAACAGAAAAGAGATGAGAATATTATAACAGGCCAAGTGTAATATCTACTTAGTGAGTCTGCAAAGAGCCTTCAACCTCTGGCTTTGGAGTGACCAGTTGCAGTGGGTACCCTCTACTGTGAGAGTGCTGTGCGCAGGGTGAGCCAGCAGAAGCACAGGAGCCCTACTTGCATATTTTCTACCTGGACTGTCAAAGAGAGAAGTTTATTTTATAAAGGCTATACTGTCTGGCACCTAAGACATACTTTATTCCCTCTACTTAGCAGCTGGCCTAACTTGTAAGTACTTCATTAGTACTTCCCTTTATTGAACTTCTCAGATCTAACCTCAGAGGTTTTCAAGCAATGAGAGAATACTACCAATAAAGCAAAAATTAGTGTTTCTGCCCCATTCAGAATTTGTTATTTGTGCACAATCACACAACCCCCAAGGCTGACTAAATAAGCAGTCTTACTTCTATTAGAATGATACCCCTTGCTTTTTCTGATGCGTATCAACTTTTTTAGCCACCAAGAAAACATGTCACGAATGATAATTTACAAAGAAAACTTGAATTATAACACATTACTATAATGTAAAAATTACCAAAAAAAATAAAAAGAGTGCACTCTCATTATCAAATGAAAGCTATCCTAGGAAATGTGATACACTTTTAAAATTCACCAGTATTCACAAGTAGTAGTAGTACAGTAAGACAGTATTATGATTATAGTATTATAAGTTATAATAATATATAATTATCGTATTATAAATTATAAGATATAATTTTAAGAGTAGCAAAGATTCTTTGTAATACTAAATATTTTGTATTAGGCACACAATATTGTAAATCTTCAACTTGCTTTTGTAGCAATTACTTTAAAATGTAGCTTACTGATAAAAAAACTTAAAAGCACTGAAGAAAACCATAACAGACAAATAGTTCTGCAATTTTTGCTTTCATATTTTATTCCTGCTTTTCAATAGAATACAATATGGCCTCTCACTTCCTCATTCTTTAGCATACTACATGTGAATAGTTATACCACTGCTTTAAAGGAATGTGGCTTTAAGTAACATCCTTCTTAATCTGGTATCTAACACTCTTATAAATACATTTTCTCATTTTCACCCTAACTTGTCAAAAACAGGGAAAGAAATGGCTTTTCAAAGCTAAATCATTTTTCTTCCTATATTTAGGGGGGGGAGAACTCAATAATGATTATGTCTAAAATTAGTACCTTTAAAAATGAAGACTCTTCATTTAAAACCACTTTATAATACAATCAGTGTTACACACCACATTAACAAATTGAATAAAAATCATATGATCATCTCAATAGATGCAGAAAAACCTTTTGACAAAATTCAACATCCATTTGTGATAAAAATTCTCCACAAAGCGGATACAGAGGAAATGAATCTCAACATAATGAAGACTGTATACAAAAAGCCCATAACTAACATCACACTCAGTGAAAAGCTGAAAGCATTTCCTCTAAGATCAGGAACAGGACAAAGATGCACACTTTTACAACTTTTATTCAGCACAGTATTGGAAGTCCTAGTCACAGCAATCAGTCAAGAAAAAGAAATAAAAAGAATCCAAATTGGAAAGGAAGAAGTAAAGCTGTCACTATTTGCAGATGACCTGATACTAAAAATCCTAAATATGCCACCAAAAACTACTAGAGTTCATCAACGAATTTGGTAAAGTTTCAGGACACAAAATTAATATACAGAAATCTGTTGCATTTCTGTACACTAACAACAATCAGAAAGAGAAGTTAACAACCCCATTTACCAATGCTTCAAAAATATATATATATCTAGGACTAAATCTAACTAAGGAGGTAAAAGACCTGTACTTGGAAAACTGTAAGACAATGATGAAAGAAATTGAAGATGACACAAACAGATGAAAAGATATACAGTGTTCATGGATTGGAAGAATTAACATTGTTAAAATGACTATACTACCCAAAGCAATCTAAAGATTCAAAGCAATCCCTATTAAAATACCAATGGGTGTTTTCACAGAACTAGAAGACTTCTAAATTGTATGGAAACACAAAATAACCTGAATAGCCAAAGCAATCTTGAGAAAGAAGAATAGAGTTGGAGGTATCACACTCCCTGATGTCAGACTATACTACAAAGCTAGAGTCATCAAAATAGTATGGTACTGGCACAAAAAGAGACATATAGATCAATGGAACAGAATAGAGAGCCCAGAAACAAACCCACATACTTATTATCAATTAATATGACAAAAGAGGCAAGGGGAAAGGACAGTATAATGGGGAAAGGACAGTTTCTCCAAGAAGTGGTGCTGGGAAAACTAGACAGCTATATGTAAAAGAATGAAATGAGACCATTTTCTCACACCATATAAAAAATAAACTCAAACTGATTAAAGACCTAAATGTAAGACCAAAACCATAAAACTCTTAGAAGAAAACACAGGCAAAACACGACCATAAATTGCAGCAGTATTGTTTTGATCTGTCTCCTAAAGCAAAGGAAACAAAAGCAAAAATAAACAACTGGGACCTAATTAAACTTAAAAGCTTCAGCACGGCAAAGAAAACCATTGACAAAATGAAAAGACAACCTATTAAATGGGACAAAATATTTGCAAAAGATATGACCAATAAGGGACTAATATCCAAAATATGTAAATAGTTCATATAATTCAACATCAAAAAAACAAACCAATTAAAAAATGGCCCAAAGACCTGAATAGACATTTTTCCAAAGACATACACATGGCCAAACAGGCATATGAAAAGATACTCAACATCGCTAATCATTAGAGAAGTGCAAATCAAAACCACAACAAGCTATCACCTCATACCTGTCAGAATGGCCATTATCAAAAAGAACACAAATAACATAGGTTGGTGAGGATGTGGAGAAAAGGGAACCCTTGTACAATATTGGAGGAATGTAAATGAGGGCAGCCACTATGGAAAACAGTATGGAGGGTTCCCAAAAAAGTAAAAATAGAACTACCATATGATCCAGCAATTCCACTCCTGGGTATATATCCAAAGAAAATGAAAACACTAATTTGAAAAGATATATGCACCCCAATGTTCATAGTGGCATTATTTACAATAGCCAAAATATGGAAGCAAACTAAGTGTCCACCAATAGATGAATGGATTAGAAGATGTGGTATATATATTTAATATATACACATATACAATGGAATAGTACTCAGCCATAAAATAAGAATGAAATTTTGCCTTGACAGCAACATGGATGGACCTAGAGGGTATTATGCTTAGTGAAATAAGTCAGACAGAGAAAGACAAACACTGTCTTATCACTTAGATGTGAAATCTAAAATAATAAAACAAATGAATACACATAACAAAACAGAAACGGACTCACAGATATAGAGAACATACTAGCGGTTACCAGTAAGGAAAAGGAAGAGGGAAGGGGCAAGATAGGTTGGGGTAGAGGATTAAGAGGTACAAACTACTATTTATCAAATAAATAAGCTACAAGGATATATTGTACAGCACAGGGAATATAGCCAATATTTTATGATAACTTTAAATGGAGTATAACATATAAACATTTTGAATCACTATGTTGTACACCTGAAACTAATATAATATTGCAAATGAACTAGACTGCAGTGAAAGAAAGATGCTTAAGAACATTTAAAAAATCCATTTTAACCTCAGTTATGTAAAACAACTACTGTTTTAGGACTCAGTCTTGCTTATAAGAAAAGGAAAGCCCGCCAGTGACTTTTCGGTCTCAAAGGTCACTAACCAAACACAATTTAATTAATTAATATTTCCTACATAGAATTTAATGCCTTAGTCTTAGTATCAATACTTCCATGGCAGTCACTAACTAGTCAGAAAAGAATTTCTTTGGTCCCAAAGCATCAGGGCTTTTCAATGCCAATAGTCTTAGAAATTACATTTAATATAATGGTATTTCGTCATCAGTTGAGCATTATTTTAGGGTAGAAGATGAAGATCTAGAGTGAAATAGCAAGATGATGGTTATGGAGAGACCACAAATATTTAAAATCCTATTTTAACATTTAGAATTTAAATATTTAATATTTAAAACCTTAGTGTTAGCTGAAAAATAAAATTGCTTTAATTCCTAGAAGGATTCAGTGTACTGACCCTGAAAGAGCTGAATGAACCGAGGCTGCAGTGCCGAGGTGATCACGCCCTCCGGCAGCTCCCTCAGGAAGAGCTTTAACAGGCTGGCCGCCGCGCAGACGTCGCCGTCCCTCCCCAGCTCCACAGGCACCCCACTCTCAAACTTCCATCGAAGCTGTTCCACCACCCTGACGTTGCCATTCACCCGAAAAAGGCCTTCCTGGGTGAGTCCTGGAACAGCAAAGTACATGCACAGAAAATAACAGAGGTCTCTCACAAACAGGTACAAACTCTAAAGAACAGCGACGTAAATAAATCTCAGTATAGAATTTTCTGAATAATTATCAAGCACTGGAAGATTTTCACGTCCTATAAAAATGTTTTCTTAGAATAATACATCTTCCCATCTATTACGTACCAACTACAAAGATCGTAAGTGGTTATAAAAGCTGACGTCTAAAACTAAGGTTAGGACACATACAAACACAGAACACGTACTTCTCTATAAAGAAATTTCATTCATATAATTTTCTACAGTGTATAACAGAAACTTACCCTGGGCTCCGAAAGCAGCTTAGCATTTTGAGAACAACTATTTAAGAAAAAACTAACATGTACGCAAAACATTTTAACTATATGTGATTACCTTTGTAATAATTTGATAAAGAACTATTACTTCTTTAGTAATTAATAAATTCAAATTATAAGACTCAAGAGACTGTAAAGTAGCGGCAGACGAGATCCTTGCCTTTAGCCAATTGACTTGTGATTATTAGTGCTGGCTGGGGTCGGCAGAGAAGGCTTCACGGAGGAGCCATGGCTCCGCTGCATAATCTTTGGCTAAAGCACAGGCATGACTGGGGGACTGAGGCTGACGTACCGCGAAGCTAATGAAATTTAAGCTTCAGGGCCTCTCATTTATTGGGGCCCTTTCCAATGCTCTGTCCCTAATTCTATACTCTTAATTTTGTGTTCTTTTTCTTAAAGAGGGCCCCAGAAGGACTAACCATCAGACCCACAAAAACTTGATCTACCCCTGACAAAGAGAAACAAATGTATGAACTGAGAAGCAGAGAGAGGAGAGTGTAAAGAAAGGCAGGCAGATGAAAATATGGGGTGTTTAGGTCAAAGAGTGATAGGGTACTAAAATGGAAGAAATGCTAAGTAGAGGGTCATGAATGTCAAGGGAAAGAGTGACGACTTTATCATTATTTATCACTGGGGCATTAAATGTGTGTGAGTTGGGGGCGGGCAGGGCAGAGACACAACATAATCGTGGTTTAAGGAAGAACTAGTTAGCAAAGAAGCAGAGAATGGAGAAGGCAGAGAGCTTGCCTTAGGGGGACTACAGTCACCTGTAAGACAGATTATGGTGGGAAGGAAGTTGAAAAGGAGAGAATGAAGATGATTTGGTAACTTAGTACAAAAAGAAAATAGGGAAGACGAAGGGTTGAAACATAACTTTAAGGTTTGAAAACTAGAAATCCAGGAGAAAGCATGGTAAAGGATAAGGTGAACTGAGGGGGGAGGGTGGCAGCTGCTTTAAGGTAGAGCATAATGATTTCCAGCTCAGTGTGCTGGATTCAAAGAGACAGAGCACCACGAAAGCAGTGAGTCAGGCCACGGAGGGATGTTCAAGGTTTAAGACACATTCTAAGAAAAGAGTGACCTGGGCTTCCCTGGTGGCGCAGTGGGTGAGAGTCCGCCTGCCGATGCAAGGGACGCAGGTTCGTGCCCCGGTCTGGGAAGATCCCACATGCTGCGGAGAGGCTGGGCCCGTGAGCCACGGCCGCTGGCCGCTGAGCCTGCGCGTACGGAGCCTGTGCTCCGCAGTGAGAGAGGCCACAACAGTAAGAGGCCTGCGTATCGCAAAAAAAAACCCCAAAAAACAAACAAAAAAAAACTCACATGAATTTTAGCTCCAATTTTGACAAAAATCTGTGAAACCAGAGATGCTATTAAAAATATTTAACAACCAGTATGGCCACAGCACCATGTAATCAGAGAAGACACCGGTCAGTTTGTGCGCTAGGCAGCTTCTCGACTGGCCCCAACGATACCCACCTCTTGGTAACCATATCGTGTATAATCCTCTCCCCGCTTGAGTGCGGTCTGGACCTAGTGACTTGCTTCTAACCAAGAGAACATGATTAGGTTCCAAGCTCACTTCTGAGATCGGGTTATAAAAGACTGTGATGCCTACTTCGTTTCCTTGTGTGCTCTCTCTCTCTCTCTCTGGCTCTTCTTGCTTTGCTCACTGTGATGAATCAGCTACTATTTTGTGAGCTCCCTTATAAAAAGGTCCACGTGGCAAGGAACTGAGGGCAGTTTCTGGACAACAGCCAATGAGTAACCGAGACCCTCAGGTCAACAGCCCGCAAGGATCTGAATCCTGCCAACAAGCACATGAATGAGCTTGGAAGTGAACCTTTCCCCAGTCACGTCCTGGCATGACTGCAGCCTTAAAGAGTCCCTAAAGACAAAAGACATGACTAAGCTGTGCTCAGATTTCTGAACCACAGAAACTGTGAGACAATAAACACTGCTTTAATCTACTATGTTTTGGGGTCATCCGTTTTGTAGCAAGAGATAACTATGCCATTCCCTCTAATACTGCAGAATATCGGTTACTATCAAGAGACTTCACCTCAGTCATTTTTAAAGCTCTCAAGTTCTGTTTCCTCTACTCTACAAAGCTTCATCTGTAACTTCAGAGACATATACCGGCATCAAGCAGACAGCACCCAATAAAAGAGAATCCCATTCCTGGTCAAGGCCCAGATCCTGAAGATACAGAATTTTACGACATAGTCCTGTATCTTACCCAGCTCCAGAGCCTGTTTTTGGACCAGCAGATGCCCCTGGATCTGATTTCACAGTGTTTTTCTAGCTTTGACCTGAGGTTCCCTCTTCCAACAAGGTTTTTTGACCTTTTCCTCAAATAAATATACTTCCAGTTATTCGAAAAGAGCTACCCATCTCCAAGAACTGGCTTTGGTCTTGAAGTTCCTGATCCCCCCAGACCTTACTAGAGGAAAGAGAAGCTATAAATGGAAGTCATTAAAGTCAGTGCTTCTCGACCATTTTTTCTGCCCTCGTGGCCATTTATTTGCACAACTCTCTTCCCTCAGGAACATCTCTCACCCAAAGAACTCTTAGGGGCTTCCCTGGTGGCGCAGTGGTGGAGTCCGCCTGCCGATGCAGGGGACACGGGTTCGTGCCCCGGTCCGGGAGGATCCCACATGCCGCGGAGCGGCTGGGCCCGTGAGCCATGGCCACTGAGCCTGCGCGTCCGGAGCCTGTGCTCTGCAACGGGAGAGGCCACAACAGTGGGAGGCCCGCATACCGCAAGAAACAAACAAACAAAAAAAAAGAACTCTCAGGATACTTAGTGATTTTTCAATCCGGAGAAGTTTACTTCTGGACATGGCTATATTACACTCTGGCAAAAAGAATCCACACAGCTTTAAAAGTCCCTTGTGAACTTATAATATATACAATACCCATGTGAGGTTTACCAGATTATATAATCTCTAATCTTTCCTACTCTAAATTCTTAGGAAATGATTATAACAGAAACGTTAGAGGGAGGAGATGTTTAGAAAGCTTTATGGAGTTACTGCCATACATTTAAGATTCTGTCATATTTGATTTCATGAGATATGGGTTAATCATCACGAAACAGCAACTTATAAATGGTTTAGTAATACCAAAAATAATATATAACACTGACAACGACTTTCTCGTACAACTGAAGTGTTTATTTCAAAGTCTGATGAGCACATCTATGAATGTATGAATACATCAACAGAAATGAAATATGCCAGAGGTCAGAATTTGTCTTATTTGGCACACTGGCCCTGACAGTCATGCGACAATATGTAAGCATATTCTGACATCTAGTGGTAAGTGGAGAAACCTACACTATTTAAATATCCCACAGCATCTTAATGGTAAAGTAGAAGGAATCCAGTAACACTGTCATCAAGATTAGTTATTTTAAAATAGTACAAAGATGATACGCCTCAGGCTTCCCTGGTGGCGCAGTGGTTGAGAGTCTGCCTGCCGATGAAGGGGACGTGGGTTCATGCCCCGGTCCGGGAGGATCCCACATGCCACGGAGCGGCTGGGCCCGTGAGCCATGGCCGCTGAGCCTGCGCGTCCGGAGCCTGTGCTCCGCAACGGGAGAGGCCACAAAAGTGAGAGGCCCGCGAACCGCAAAAAAAAAAAAAAGTAAAAAAAAAATGATGGCTTAGATATACACTGGTTGACATAGAAAGATATTCTCAATGTATTGGATTGAGTTATTTAAACAGCATGTTATAAAACACTATAAATATTCAAATGTTCTAATCTATTTTACAATGTCTTCATTACTTTTTAGTTACTTTTGTAATAAAATAACTAGTCGTATTGTGGATAATAGATAAATGAGCAAAGTACTGAGATAATTCACAAATGAAGAAATAAAAATGGCCAATAGGGACTTCCCTGGTGGCACAGTGGTTAAGAATCCACCTGCCAATGCACGGGACACAGGTTCGTGCCCCGGTCCGGTAAGATCCCACATGCTGCAGAGCGGCTGGGCCCGTGAGCCATGGCCGCTGAGCCTGCGCGTCCGGAGCCTGTGCTCCGC